GGTTCATCTTAGTTATATTCCACTATTTAGTTAGCATTGACAGAACTAAAGGTTAAACATGTGTATAACCTTCTATTATTAGACAGCAATAATTTTAATGTTAATTATTCATTAATTACTGAATTTGATCCTAATTAACATTCATCATTTCCAACCATTTTAAGGATTAAGTACTTTACATTATAAGGAGGTTGATCTTATAAACATAATACAGTAGAGACAGAGGCAGATATGCCAGTGTTTGGGGTAACCATTATTGGCAGTGTGTAAAATAACTACAGTATAGCTGTACATCACCACAGTAGTTTTATAGGACAGATCAAGACCTCTCCTAAAACAAAAGTTGAAAACGTTTTTGCATTAAGAATTAGTACAGGTAATACTTTTCTCACTCATGTCATTATGTGTATATTACATATTCAAGGCAAATTCTGTATCTGTGATTTTGGAGAGAAGATTTCATAAATATTCTGTGTCATTTCAGGCCCGTGACAAGTTGATGGCTGAAAACGCAAGACTAGAGGCCAAGTTAGAGGCTAGCAATGACCAAATTGTCACTCTCAAATCTCATGTTGGGATGATCCGTAAAAACACCATCACATTCATTCTGGAGCAGATGGACGCCCTTCACATTCAACGTGATACTGAAGTATGATGATGTCCAAAGCAGGAGCTGTGACGTAGGACGGAAGAACGTGATTGTGTGCTGTACAGGAGCGATGATAGAAATATGGATAAATATGGGATCCATGTTACAATATTCTGCACATCAGACCACCATTACGACCAATAGTAATGTTCCCATATTATAGAATAATTCAACCACCCAAGACAAGGGGAGGTAATTCCCATAATATGAGTATTTAACAACCTATGGGAAGGCTGCGAGCATTTATCTCCAAAGGGAACTTCTGTAGGATACATTCCCGTGTTATGACAATCTTACTGCCTTCAGATGGAATAGAACACCAGGAATGATGAGGGTAGAGATAAAGAAGTGACTTAACTAAAGATATGTAACATAGCACAACTGTAAAATGGCAGCCATGTTTGATCTCTATGGAAACGTTGCTTGGTCACGGCAATGTAGTTGGACAGCAGACCACGTGACAAAAATCAAACAGTGTGTGTAAAACATCGCGCAAGGACACTACTTCCTGCTTTCTGTAGGGTAGAGATGGTAGAAAAGCATGACCACTTGTTGTGATTTTGATAGGTCTTGAACATGACATATGATTGTGAGCTTTTGGCTATGAAAGTGTGATCAGATATGGATCTCCTCCAACTGATCTTGTATACAACTGAATGAAAAAAGTATGGATCGAGTGATGATCAGGTGTATAACAAGGGGACACCACCAGAGGGATCCTTCGCTAAAGTCTGCTTTGATTGGTTATGTGAGAAAGTAAGCGTTCATTACTGAACAGTAATGCTGCAAAATATTCCAAACTCAGCACTCAATGGATTACTGTACAATATATGAATGGGCTATAAATCAACTGTTGCCTAGCTGTAGGTCTGTCTGTCTGTGGCCGGAACCAGGAACATGACAAGGTGTAGAGTCACAGATGTGAAAGGTTTTGGAGGTAGTGGATATGTGATGGGTCAGGTGTTCCTGCCTGAAAGTGATCCGGCCACAACCGATTGTCTCTGGAAGATTGTCATTGTACATTTTCTCTCTTGACATATGTGACGAAACTGTTTTTAATTCAACAATACCTCGATTTCCAGGTCCTGGATAACATCAGTGAGATTCATATGTGAAGTTTTATCCTTGCATCAAGGAAGTATACTACACTGGGATGATTTCCAGTCCTTACAAGACTGTCACTTCTGACGCAGTTCTCCTGTGTGTCACAGGGTAACAACAGCTAACAGGGAGTCAGCTGTCTCACAACCAAATGGAATCCTTGGTTACCAAGCGATGGCCCTTAGTTACCAATGAACATCATGTGTACTGACCATGTTCTTCCCAACTGTTGCTGGGCAACACAAGACCTTGATCTTGTTAGTCACATGACCCTGATGTTGGAATTAATTTTCTCATGACCTTGACCTTGGATATTTCCACATGACCTTGGTTGTAATTTCACCTCATTTGTGTAACATGTTACAGTTATGTTGGTTGGACAAAATCTTTTATAGCATTTGTTGAGAGTTCAATTATAATTACTCATTTGTTATATATAAAAAAAGAGATACTTTTAAAAACAAATCAACATTTAATGTGACTACTATGAACAATTCCATATTTGATAGAACAGACCACATTTTATTACAAAGTTATAAGGAGTATTTTTATACATATTATCTGAGGGGAACAAGATGACCTTGACCTCAGCCTGTGATGTACATACAAAGCTATATATAGACTAAGTGGGCTATTTTTGGAAACTTCCGGATAAGTGTGACATTGGGAGCTGTAGTCATTCAGATAAAACCCAGCCATTCTATTGACCTTTGATGTACACATCNGTGATGTACATACAAAGCTATATATAGACTAAGTGGGCTATTTTTGGAAACTTCCGGATAAGTGTGACATTGGGAGCTGTAGTCATTCAGATAAAACCCAGCCATTCTATTGACCTTTGATGTACACATCAGATTTTTCTTGCTGACAGTTTTGTTTTGTTTTCCTTTTTTTTTTACATTTTCATTTAAAATCCTTAAATGATTCTTCTTTCTAAATACACAGATAACTCTCTGATTTTACTTCATCAGAGATATTTAACCATCTTTTTTTTTTTTTAATAATTTCTTTCAGATTGTTTTCTACCGTTGATTCAGTCAGATACAATTGCCATGTACATGTATGATCATCACCTTGTTGATATGTGTACCATATTTGTTCTACCAAAGTTTATTTCATTGTTCATTTGTGACCATTTCATAAGTAGAAACAGTCTGAATTTTCTCTGAATTCCTTAACATCAATCATATAGATATTCAGGCGAGGGAAAATTCTAAAGTAGAAAGTCTTATCTATATTTTTTTTCTAAAGAAAACCACAATTCAGGTAGAAATGATTAAAAGTTAGATTTAACTGATTTAGTTAAATTTCAGTCATATCAGTTTTTACAAAAAATCAATCAAAGAACTTTTCTTTTATTCTGAATGAAATTGGCTTGTTTTGATGAATTTTAATTAATGTGATACAGTATCAAATTTTGAAAACAATCAATTTTCCTCTGTAACAGTTGTAGGATTCTCTGTTCTATAGTATACATATATGTAAATATTTATTTATGTTTTAATTTGGAAAGTTTACCTAAATGTGGACGCCAAGTGATATGAAGGTTCAGTGCAATAAGATTGACAATATTTATACATGTTTTATAATGAGAGAACTTCAGAAACAGACAGGACATACAAATATTAGGGTTTCCCAGGCGCGTTGTTGTGATTTATATAAATTTTCTATTGTGTAACTAGTGTTATTAACCAGTGGTACTTACAGGGGCCTTAGGTCCTTAGGAACAGGGCAGGAGGATGTACAGAAAACACTTCTAGAGGCTTAAAATACCTTTGTGAAATCTGGGGAAGTTAATACCCGACAGATCACCAGCGGAATACTATCTGTGTTATCTAGAAAACTTTAACTAGAACTAAAGTAATATTGATGTTTAAATTTCTCAATGATTTGTTTATGACTATACTTTAATACTGAGAAAAAATACACAATTTTTAGAAGGTTTCATTTGTTCTCTGTGAGGTCTTGTCCCTTACCGTAAAAACATCTTGGAATTCAACTCCAATGAATTTTGTATGTATTTCCAACATTGAACACATTTCCACTTCATTTTAATAACGTGCTTGGATGTTCATCTTTCAACCGTCTGATATTTACATCTGGAGCGGGTTTGATTAGGTAAACGACTAAAGTTAACGTGCAGGATATATCTTTGTCACCATGGACATTGAAACTTGACAAGTAATATTTTCAATATGTTTTAGAGTTCACACTAATCACTGTTAACGGTTTCACCACTGTAGACCATAATGGACTCATCCAGATCAATGCATGATAGAGCCTACTAAAGTTACATAGGGTTGAAAGGGTTAAGACCCAAGGTCTAGCGTGGCATGTTGTAGAAAGTTCTGCTACGGACCAAAGGTTGGAACAAGACTTCTGATATAAATGTATATGTCCACTACGACCTTCAAACCCAACATTGTAGGACATTAACATGGGTACATCCATGCTAGTAACTTGATTTAAACTCAAAGCTTTTCAAGAAAGTTGAAATGTTTGTATTTTCTGATCATTTTCAGTAGAGAAAAAACATCCTTTTCAGCATCTGAGACCCACATTATATGTTAAGGGTATTCATCCTTTAAAAGCTTCATGAGGGTATACATATTCACCATCGAAGAAAAGTTTGTTCCACTAGTGCTAGAAATCCAGACAATCTCTGACCTGGGCTCAGGAAAGGTAGTTTGCATGTGTATTTTCTCTTGGAGAAAAGTAGAGATGGAGGTGCCTAATATAGCAAATTCAATACAAATGAATACCTCAGATGGCATGTTTCACAAAACGGTGGAACTGACCAGTTCAATATGTTTTGATCAAAAAGGAGGCTCAGTATTGGAAATACCAGTTATTTGTAGAGTTATTTTAATTTTCTTGGTCTATTTTAAATGTTTTGTGAAACATACCCTGAGGCTATTACAGTTCTGGCTAGTTTGCCTGAAATTCACTACCTTGGTTTACAGTCTTTTTACCTTACAAAACCATTTAAACAATGAAATAGATATCAAGTTTTATTTGTTTTATGTCAAAGTTTTAAATGTTTGAATACCAGAAAATATATCTGAATGTAATTGAATCCTACTTAACTACAACTTAATAGCAATAAAATAACATTCTTGTTGGAAAATTCCAGTAATGTTGAAACATATTGATTAATTGTCTAGGTTTGTCAATGATTTCCTTGTCAGAAAAAAAATCTTTCCTTAGAGTTCGCTCTTTAAGACTATTTCAGAGACAGACATGTTTATGGATACAGAGAGGCAGCAAAATGTTTACTTAAGGACCTGAGAAACTCTGAACTGTTCCTGATCGTCACATTTGTTACGTTGAGTCAGCTTTCATGGTTGTAAAGAATTTATGCTGTTTTGTTTGTATTATCTAATTAATTTTGATTTATTAATACAGAAATGTTTCAATCAAAACCCTAAATCATGGAAAAAAAGTGTTTTGTTCCTAACAAAGGGAGAGAATCCATTTGTAATGACGGAACACCAATTGTATTGCCAAAATAATTTTCTTTCAACTTTTATAAAATTAGAAAAAGCTCAATTTTTACAACATATTATGTATTTTATACATTCCATCTACATCATCTGATCAATAATCTTGTATCACTCTGACCAAAACCAATCTTGTTGCATATAATTGTGGGTTTTTTTGTAGTCGTGTATGATGCCAATAACTTCAACACCAGAGGGTGTAGTTTTTATTCAGATTTATGTAATCTACTGCTGCAAACTATTTGAACAAAACCTGTTTTGTTTTTCGTGGAGATGTAGATTTTTTTTATATATTTGTATAACAGTTTAGCACAAATGGATCTGGTCATACTAGATATTGGAACAGATCTGTGTAACCTAGTTCTTCTTTTTACAACAAAATCTATGATCAAATTTATGTCAATCTTTTTTTATTTGACC